GCGAACACACACACTACCCAATCACTCACACAGGCGCACATTAATGTGTTAGGTTTCTTTCCCACGCTGCACCATCCCTCCTGGCGTCCTCCGCTCGTGGCACTTCTATGCTCCTTCCGGGGGTACGGGAACGCATCTTCTATGTCCGTTTCGCCCGTGTATCTTCGCTTCCACGCCTCCGATTCTGACAAGCCCGGAGTCGTTCGATAGCGTGCGTTTTGCTTGACCGTGGGTGTGTCACTCTCCCCGGGGTTGTTTCTTGACGATGCGATACCGGCGGTTTTGTCCGATTTATTGCGTCTTCAACAAATTCTCCACCTGCTTTGCTTGCCTCGGGCTCACTAACCGATGCCGCTCCTTTCTCGTTTTCGTTTCGTTCTGTTGGGCCTGGGTTTCTCCAGCGAATCGCCCCCATTGCATCGGTCTCTCTATTCGTCCCCCTCCGTTTTAATGATCTAACCGTTCTTTGGGCAAGCGCTGCCTTTCGCCTCCTTACAATATAGCAACTTGGACGCATCCACGGAGTGATCAAGCTCAACTGCTCGACTATGTCGTCGTACGTCAATGTGAAGTGCGCATGACACGTGTACTGCGTGGAGCTGAGTGAGGCACTGATCACAAATTGGTGAGGACCAAACTGTACACATATTTTCGTAAATCTATATATTGCACTCCCGCCGTGAACCGGCGTAAATTTAACATTCTCTCCCTCGGTACTGTGGCGAAATATACTGAGCTGGAGAAGGCAATGACTACACGCCTGTGTGATGTGCAAAGCATAGCCACAGTGGGCGACCTGTGGCACCACATTCGCGACCAGATGACAGCTGCTACCGAGGTGACCATCGGGCGCGCAAAGTGTAAGCGGCCTGATTGGTTTGATGAGAACAATTCGACGGTCGGCGCATTGGTGTCGGAGAAGAATGCAGCATTTGCTGCACATGTTGCAGACCTCAGTAAGTTGGGGAAGAGTAGTCAGTTTCGCAAACTTCGACGGCGACTGACCTGAGAATTCCGTCGCATTAAAAATTCATGGTGGACGAAGGCGAAGCAGTTGGAATCCTACGCCGAACGTCGTTAACACAAGGAATTCTTTGACTCCTTGAAGGCGGTGTATGGACCGAGATTGGAGCCGCTGAGGACACTTACCGATGGTAGTTCAGGCGCTACCTGCATACGGACTGCAGACATAATGCAGATCTGGCGGAAACACTTTGACTCTCTTGAACAACCGTTCAGAGATCGACTGGCTTACATTGAACGGCCTGAAGCAGCACGATGTGAAGACGAGTCTGGCGGACATGTCGACACTGGATGAGACGCAGAGAGAACTTGCTCGGCTGCGAAACGGCAAATGTGCCTGAGCCGACGGTTTCCCGCCTGAAGTATTGAAACACGGTGGACCCGCGTTATTGACTGCGCTGCACCCCTTGGTGCAACGTGTATGGATTGAGGAGGAGGTGCCTCCTGAGCTGAAGGATGCCCTTGTGCTACCACTGTACAAGGTCAAAGGCAGCAAGCAGTGTTGCACGAATTATCGTTGCATCAACTTGCTGACTTGTATAGGCAAGGTGATTGTCCGAATCCTGCTCAACCGCCTCGTCAGTCAGGTTGTGGAACCTAACGTGGCGGAAGAGCAATATGGATTGGGTTCGGGTCGCAGCACTATATATATGGTGTTTGCGGCTTGTCAGTTGCAGGAGAAGCGCAGCGAAGGACACCAGCCATTGTACTCGCTTTTTGTTGATCTCACCAATGCATTTGACACGGTGAACCGCGAGGCATTGTGGCTGGTGTTTGGGTAAGTTTGGTTGCCCGCGTAAGTTCGTAAGTTTAATTGAGTGTTTGCACCATGGTATGCGAGCGAGGGTGCAGCTGAGTGGAGACCTCGGATGACTTTGCAGTTGTCACTGATGTGAAGCAAGGCTGTGTCTTAGCTCCTGCCCTGTTTAATATATATCTTCATGCAATGTTGTCCTGTGCTTTTGATGCGGCTTGTGCTTACGGTGTTCGTGTGGAGCACCGTATTGATGGTGGGTTGCTGAACATCCGTCGTTTCGGTGTGAGAACTCTAGTCTGTGAGACAACTATCCGTATGTTGCTGTTTGCTGACGACTGTGCGTTGTTTTCACACAGCGCGGATGAGTTGCAGCATATGACTAGTGCTCTGGCTTCGACAGCGGCCAAATTCGGGCTCACCACCAACACAAGCAAAACTGTCTGTCTTTTTCAGCCTTCACCGGAGGTGCAATCTTCAATATTGCCGCAAATCAGCATTGGTGCTGAAGCATTGGAAACCACCTCCTATTTCAGCTACCTTGGGAATGTGATGTCGGCTGACCAGCAACTGTACAGTGAGCTTCGTATCCGCGTGTCGAAGGCAGCGGCGGCATTCGGGAAGCTAGAGTATCGAGTGTGGAACAGCCATCAGCTTACCGTTGGCACCAAGCTGATGGTGTACAAATCCATGGTGCTGTCCGTTCTTCTATACGGCAGTGAAACGTGGACGATGTACCGGTGGGATGTGCGATATCTCGAGCGGTTCCATCAGCAATGCTTGCGACGGATTTTAGGCATCAGTTGGGGCGACAGAGTTGCAGACACGGAAGTGCTGCGCCATAGTGGAATGTATGCAATGGGCTGCATACTTTTGCTGAGACATCTGGGGTGGCTCGGTCATGTGAGCCGTATGGATTCAGTGCGGATACGGAAGCAGTTATTATGTGGTCAGCTGAGTATAGGGAAGCGGCACGTGGAAAACCAAAGTTACGTTACCAGGACATGATTAAAGTGGGCATCTCACGTTCTAATCTTGATTGCAGATCATGGGAATCGAAGGCGGTTGATCGGCGTGCATGGTGCAGGAGAAAAGCCCTCATGCATGCAGAGAAGAAGCGGCAAGTGCGGAAGCAGCAAGCACCGATGGGTTGTTCTCCATCGACATCAAGCGCATGGTGCTGTAACACATGTGGTCGCGAGTGCCTGAGTCAGGCGGGCTCAGTAAGCCATGAGCGAGGCCACTCGGGACCACTACCGAAGCGTCGACGGGTCCTGCAGAGAACGTAGGCAGAACCGGCGCAGCGTTCGTAGGTACACTGCATTCGATTTACTAACCACCTGCTTGCATGCTAAGTCTATTTATTTCAGGTGGTGGTTTTTCAATTTTGTCCTAATGCTTTTCTCAAATAAATGTCCACTTGTACGCTCTTCTCTAAACCTGCACAACTCGCTTAAGCCAATTGTAGTTAATTTCGATAACATTTTCGTGTTTGTGGAATTTCCGTAAAATATACTTTCTGAACCCCTGAACTTATCTCTGATCCTTTGTTAGCAACTTATTTCCTATGCTCATTAATTTGAGATTTTTGTCACGTTTCCTTATCCATTACTCGATTTATTTTCTTTGTTATCCTTTACACAAGTGTTTGGCTGTTGCTTGATATCCCCGATGTGGCTGCGTTTGACGTGCATGTTGACAGGGTGCCTACCTGTCTGTTACTCACTACCTCATCCATACTGGCTCTAGGAGGCAGTTGGTCGTTGCTGGAGGGGACGGGGTGCGCGGTTCTTGTGGCCGTTTTAGGATCAAGGAGTGGTTCCATGCACTCAGTGTGGAGCGGACTACGGTCCAGCCACCGCCTTATGTGCGGTTGATTCCCCAAATACAGCGTGCTTGTGTTTGCCTGTGAAGGAGTGTGGGCCTGCTCCGTTAATGAATCGTGGCTCCCATCCACATGCCTCTCGGTCTTAATCCTTCGGGTTTACACTGGATATGGGGCGTGTGGATGGAGCTGTGGGTGGTGCAGCGCAATCCACCCATGACCCCTCTGTAGGCGCAGGCGTCCTGTTGCTGGCCACAGTGACAGACAAATCCGAAACCGGATGCCGCCAGCCATGTGTCAGAGTACCGTCAAGGCATTTTTTGTAAACAGATAAAGTATGAGCACTAATTACATGTTCCTGGAGGGCGTTCCATGGGTGACACTCGGAGGGAGAAGATGTTTCGTCCACATTACAGTCGACTGTATTGCGTGACCAGCTTAAACGGATGTGTTTTGACTGAGTTTCAAAAGCGAATGGCATGTGTCGTTGAGGTTTCTGAGGATCTGATACACCAGTATGAGATCGCCTCTTAGACGCCGGTAATGTCCGCTGTATATTTTGAGGGTTTTCATCCTGAGTGGGTAGGGAATGAGGGACCAAACTGACGTTCTTTGTCGCTCTGCCTTTTGCGGTATCCAGCGCTGTGAGGTGATGCTACTGCCAGAGTTGCCACGCTTGAATAGCGTATTCTGTGTGCGACCTCATGTACGCACCAAGCGTTTTCGAAAAGATTGAGGCGCCAAACTTCCAGAACGCTCTACGAAGAAGGCCGAAGTGTTGGTTTGCTTTCTTTGAGGCCTTTTCAGTCTGCCTTAAACACCCAAGGTCCTCTTGCACAAGCACGCCAAGATCGCACTCATGAGAAGCTCGCTGTAGAATTTCTGGTCCTAGGCGGTAGTTGTGAGTACTCTGATGGCGTATGCTCAGAATTTTGCACTTTGTGGTGTTGAAATGCAGCATGTTCTCGATGGACCATGTGTACGCTTTGTCCAGGTCATCCTGTAGGGCTGTGTGATCCTCCACTGAGGCGATAGCACGCCATATCTTTAGATCATCTGCAAATAGCAGACAGTTTGAAGACAGCACAGTTGCAAGATCATTTATGAAAACCAGGAACAGGCGTGGCCGAGTACCGAGCCCTGAGGTACGCCGCACTGAACTTCGATTGGTTCCGACAGGGTGCTGCGAACCCTCACATTCAGGTGACGTTGAACGAGAAAGTCGCCTAACCATCCTAGAACGGGATCGCCGATACCATAATTCTGGAGTTTGTGCAGTAGAATGCGATGGTCCAGGCGGTCGAATGCCTTTGAGAAGTCCAGGTAGGCTGCATCCACTTCAACATCGGTGTCCACAGATTCCGTCCAGCTTGCACGAGCTATCAACAAATTAGTAGCTCAGGACCGGCTTTGGTGAAATCCGTGCTGCACCTGAACGAGGATTTTGTTATTCTTCAGGTGCTCCATGAGCGCCTCAGCTACAATGGACTCCATGATCTTGGAGATCACCGGAAGAAGTGTAATCGGGCGATAATTCACTGGTTCTATACGGCTTCCACTTTTGCAGATTGGAGTGATGATCTCGTGTCTCCACATTTTGGGGACGTGCATCTCATTAAGACATTGCTGAAAGAGTGTTGCTAACAATTCAGCTAAGCTCATGTTGGCAACTTTCAATGCTTCCGGAAGAATGTCGTCCGCACCCGGAGAGCTGTATTCGCGCAGGGACATTAGCTGCTTCAATACAGCTGCGGTTGTGAACGATATGTAGTTAAGGTTTGATGGCGGCATGAGCTGCGTAGGCATGGTGTAGGATGGTTGAACACTCTGGAAGGTACGGCCAAATTGTTGTCCAAGAAGCTTGGCAGCCTCTTGTGCCGTTTGTGCTAACCCGCATGCTGTATGCAGAGCCGGAATTCCACGCTTAATGCGGCAAAGTTTGTGTCTGTGTTTGTATACCATCTTTGGGTTAGAGCAAATTTTTTTCAAAAGATCATGTTGGTTCTTTACTTTATCCTCCCGGATGAGTGGTTCCTTTGTGTTGTATAGACGCCCCATCTACCCTCATTCAGAGAGGTTATGTTGGCGTGCCATGCCAACTCCCTCAATCCCATGCATTCCCAGGTTCTGCTCCTCAGGAACGACTTTTTTTGGTCGCTGGATTTTGGTTTCAGAAGCGCTTGCTACGGGCGTGTTGAATCTGTTGACAAATTCCCCGCAAGCCACTTCCGGGGATCATTCAGTTAGAATAGGTCAGCTTGTCGCATCAATGAGTTCGGACAGGTTATCATAGTTGGTTATGATGTAAGATTCCTCATTACTTTCTTTAGGATACTCTGCATAGCATAAGTATTGGAGCACTATTGTCGCGTGATCGCTGCGATCCTTACTACGTCGATCATCAGTTCCTCGTTGGTAAAAACGAGGTCCAAGATGGCCGGTTTTTTTCCTCTCATGAAATGCGCTGAAGAAATGAGGTGGTTGTACAGCGGTGAACCAGCGATTAGCTTTGCAGATCCACCTTGAATTGTTCACCAAGAGTGGTCGGAGTTTCTAAGCTGTGCAGAGTGAAGTCCCCTACCAGGAGAACATGGCTGTAAGATCGTTCTAGTAGATTCTTCATAACGGAAGATAAGACCTGGTCCATTTCTAAAGTGGACATGGGTGGGCGGTATACAATGACCAATAAGCATCTGCCGACTAATAGGTGTCTATTCATCATCGCTGCCTACGCGCCCACAAACTGTAGCGATGATTCGGTAAAGAACGACTTCTACCGCCAACTGACTCAGCTCCTTCGCCACAGAAGAAGCACGGACACTGTTGTGCTGGTGGGGGATCTGAACGCACAAGTTGGATAGTTGTCCACTGATGAAATGCATCTGAGCGGTCAGCACGGTGTAGGCTCCCGTAATGATAACGGTGAGCGGTTACTTCATTTGTGTGAAGATGCTCGCTTATTTTTTGCGAGCACTAATTTCCGACACAGCACCCGCCGGAGGGTGACTTGGCGCCCACCAGCCTTGGACCCAGATCGATCACATTGCTATTAGTTATCGCTGGAGAGGCTGCATCCAGAATTGTCGCTCGGTTTGGAGCACATATGTGGACACCGATCATGCACTTGTATGTGCTGACATGCGTTTTGGCGGACGCCAACGACGACGCTGTGAGCGCATTGACACCAGCCAACTGACAAAGCCAGCTGTTCTGAATGCGTATCGAAGTACACTGACATGCAAGTTGTGTAATCGCTCACTGGAGACTATTGAAGGTCACTGGTCGCATGTTCGCCAGACCTTACTAGCAGCGGGCAAATTCTCATGTGGTATGTCTAAAAGCCAACATGGACATTAGGTCTCTTCTCGGTCTCTGGAACTTATCGACGCTCGCCGGCATATCCCGGCTGGAAGCGAACACAATGAAACTCGCAAAGAGCTCTGGGCAAAACCCCGCGCTAGCCTGAAGAGAGACCGCGAATCTTGGTGGTCTCACTGTTCGTCAGAGATGGAAGTGGCCGCTGCCTTTGGCAACCATCGTAAGTTATTCGGTCTGATAGGGGAAACGGGCAGCAGGAGACCTGGCGTTAGTGAAACAATTTGTGATGAGAGTGGACAGCCTATCCACAATTTGTCAAAACGTTTGGAGCGTTGGGCTGAGCATTTTGAAAAAAAGCACCTACCGCACTGCATTACGTGTAGGCAGCACCATAGGGCGTCCACAGTTTGAATCCTAGGGTCGTTTACGCACTCGATGAGAAGGTCGGAACGGTAGTATAGAATTACACCGCCTCCCTTTTTGTCTCGGTCGTTGCGCATGAGTGACATTCCAGGTAGTGCGATCTCGGCGTCGGTAATCACGTCGTTAAGCCATATCTCAGTTACCATGATGAGGTCCCAACACATTGAGGTTTGACGAGATCGAAGTCCTACCAGTTAACTGAGAAGCCCTTGGGCTTTTGTCTGCAAACGACTAGGAGCAACGGATGCCAAAAGAAAATTTTAACATACATAGGTTTCCCGTGAATTTACGCCGACCTTTGTGGGGCCGGCTGACAACCGTTTTTTGGATATATTTCTTGCCAACTCCCCGGGCAATTCGGACTGTTGCATAGAGCGCCCACTACCTGGTCCTTTAGAAGCGATTTGCAACGGACTCTTGTTTCCTTCCTCTCCGCTCGGATGGGGAGTTTCACTGCGTTTCTCTTCGAAAATGTATACAGCGGGAATCGCGACAACTCGCTGATTTGGTGTTCCCTAACCCAATATTGGCCTGGCTTCGACCACCTTCAGACGTATCTATGACGGTAGGTTGGTGCGTAACTTGTGCCAACTTCCGAGCACTCTTTCAACCATTTGTTTGGAGTTGAGCATGACTTTCAACAATATTGGACCACTTCATTTATAATTGGGTGATATGGACAACTTTAACGTTGAGTTGGTAATCACGTCATGGGTAGAAATGGTTTCACGGATGTACCGCCACTGTCCCAATTCATGAGCTTGGGCCTGCGACTCGTCGGATGACTGGATTTCGTGGACATCATGGACGAATATCGATCTTCCGTCGGTTTGATTGCGGTATTCTCCTGGGTTTGGCTTCCTTTACCGACGCTCACTTCAAGGGATGTCAGGAAATATACGAACGCCGTATGCCGAATCACGGTGACGGTGAGTTCACAAGTGGGTGGTCTCCGCTTCGTCACCAGACTGAAATCTCACCTGAAGTAGACCTCGGTCATTACGATCATTACGCTGTGCCAAGCGTTGTTCACGGACCTTAGGGCCATAGTGGTCAAAGCGTCACCCTTTGAACACTAGGCCTCTAGGTCCACCCCAGCTCACGCTATCTCCATCTGATGAGTCCAAACGAGGACGAAGCCTGTTGTGGGGTGTCAGCGTTGGGAGGAGCAACACCGAACCACCAATTCGGATACGGTCCTTGTGATCGTAATGACCGAGGTCTACTTCAGAGAGGACCGAGGTCTGAATAGAGATTGCGAGTCGCAGTCCAACTACTCAGCGGGTATACCAAATGCCACTTTGGAATTCCTTACCACTCTGCCAAGCGTTGCTCACGTATTTTAGAGCCATAAGGATCAGGGCATCAACCTTCGGACACTAGGCTTCAAGGTCCACCCCAGCTCAGTCTATTCCCATCTGCCGAGTCCAAACGAGGACGAAACCGGTTATGGGGTGTCAGGGTTGGGTGGAGCAACACGGAATCACCTGAAATAGCTTTGGCTTGCCATGGTGAACTGAATTTGGGTGGCGGACGATACGACACAAACTGGCCCTATTTGGCCTGGATTCCCATAGCCTGGCATATGGTTTCCCATGGTTTCAAGTTGTCCAGTAATTTGTTTTTAATAGAGTTCGCGGTTGATTCAAGCTTCTTGGGGCATGTTATCTTCATCGAGTTCTGGTTCTTCTTGGAGTTCGTAATTTTGGATAAGATAGTGCCTCTTTTTACTGGCGGCGTATTGGGCGATCTTCTCGGAGTAGTTGCAAATATGCCCGTTAACCTTGCCCTGGGTTTGCATACAACGACGGCGGATTCGGAAATTGTCGCACTTTCGGAAGTGTTAAGTAAACCCAAATGCAATAGAGTGTCATGTGAGACAGACACATCCTCAGGAGAAACCTCTCTTTGCAAAATTTGAGTTGCCGGTGTTGCCAGACCCTGGCTGCTAGTTCTCGTGGTTGGAGTTGCTGACTTTACTCTGTCAACTATACACTGCTTTTGGCTATTCTGTTTCAGTTTGAACATATATTTCGGCAACAGGAATCGAGTTCCGATGCAGCTAGTTCAGATGTGTCCGCTAGACCAGCCGTCACACGCTGCACCATAGCTAACAGTTTGTCACATTTCTGAGCCAGCACGGCGATGCACCTTACAAGTGGGTCAACAATACACTGCACAGAACCAACTGGCATATGGTGTGCACTGTAGTTCTTTCCCTTTTGCTGCATTTTAATTTACACACCTGGGATGGTAGTTCTTATTGCATTTACTACATATTACTTCCCTTTGCTTAGTTTTAGAGCACGGTTTCGAATCGCAAAAACTTTTGTCTGCGACAGTGTGGACCATGTACACATGGCTTACCTTGTTGCGAGGCGTGAGTCACCTGCACAGCTTGCGAGCGCCGATCGTGTTGTGACGGGCACACGATGTCGTTTGGCAGTTAGATGATGTAGAACTTCAAGTGGGCACCTTGTGCATGAAAGAACATATAGGAAACCGTGTTGAGACTCTTGATTAACTTTCGAGTCAGTAGGGAGTCAACTGATGCAGCTTTTATATGTCGCCCCCACTACGTTTCTCTCACACGTAAGATTTGTGCATCAGGTAGTGAGATAAGTGAGCGTAGGAAGTGAATTTTGTCTAATGGACCATGCATTGAGCAGCACGATGCTCCTGGAAAAAGATTGATAGGACAAGTACATTATTTGTTGAAACAGTTCGGGGCTATCCACTGATGATGAGGATGTATCTGTTTTGTTTGACGGGAATCTGGTGATATCTGATTCGGGATTATCGAAATATTCGAGCACGGATCTGTGAGTATGCAGGTCCGGGGATGTTTTCGTTTACGCGGATGGTAAGTTCGGCCGTAGAGACAAGTTATCCCTTGTGCACTTTGGAATAACTTTGAGTACTAATTATGTTGCGGTATTGGGTGTAACTTATAATTGACCTGGTATTGGGCCATCCTTATCATCTAGACAAATAGAATAAAGTGTGCGACCATATAGTTTGTTTCTGTCGGATGTACCAGAGTTGGGAACGCTGTGCGACCACCCCACTTCCCCTAAAAGATTGTCTGTGTGTATGGGATGCGGTACAGGACAGCGTTAGCCAGTCATTCCGGACACTATACTTTTTTTTAAATATTTCGGGTGTTCACTGGAAGACAACACACAGGAATATCCATAGGATAATATTTTATGGACTCACTC